TTTTGTATGTGGCCAAAATAAATCAAAATACCGTGACTGAGCCCCTTTAATTTTTCCGACAGTTCGCATTAATACCACGAGGTTGTAACGCGCAATGCAGTTGAGTTGTAAATCTGCAAGCTAGTTTTTCTTCAGAAATTCTACACTGAAATATCAAAACAGTCCTCCAGGGTCGAATTATTGCAAAACTCGCCGCAAATTTTCACCGTGGAAGAGGAGCTCTCCAAAAAATTCCGTTATTTATTTGTGGTCTATGCTTCCACTTCGGGACAAATTTCGGACAAAAATCTCAGACACTCTGCTGAAACATAGCTAGTGTAAATTGAGGCCTACAAAATACCTTTTGGACTAAAACAAAATCTGTGATAATGATAGTTTTACTGCAACCTCAAGGTTTTACAAATACACCGATATGAAAATAAGAAAAATTTTATGCAGCCGTTTTGTATATCTCAAGCATGTGTCTCAACTAAAGTTCGCTCCATAAAGGAAACTAGCGGCTGTAGGCTATTTAACAGTTTTATACTGTACTGTAAGTATTTTCGACTCTTAAAATTTCGGACGCTTACAAAATTTGGATGGTTTTATTTTCGGACACTTTTTTGTGCGAAATTAAAATCGTTCGAAAGTTTTTGCAACTGAGTAATGTAGTCAGTCTTTTTCTTAGTAATTTTTATTGCTCACTTCTAGACATATCAAAGAACATCTTAAAGACGAAGCGGAAGTCAATTTAGACGAAATGAGTGACGAAGAATTTCATTTCTACTACTTCACACTTCACGATCATGACCAGAACAAAAAACTGGACGGTCTTGAAATTCTTTATGCCATGAATGATCACCCAAATGGAACGGATGGAAATCCTTCATATCTCACAGAAGAGCAGGGCGTGGAATTGGTGGATAAAGTCTTGGAAAGAATGGACCAAAATTCTGATGGATATATCGACTATCCGGAATATACAAAATCACTGACACGGCATCATGTGCACGAGAATCCTCAGTGATTACTGTAACGGCACCCTTGTGCCTTTTGTGTCACGTCTGTTATGTTTTCGTGACGATTTGATTTTCCGTCATTACTTTCGTCATTACTTCCCAGCATGCGCTTTAGTTAGTTTTAGTGGTTTCGACCACGCGGTGCCCTTGTAGCCCGGAAAGGCGTAAGTTTTCTGTCGTTTCTCGCATTGTATTTTTCCTCTTTTTGTTCTCTACCACTCACAGCGTTATGTTATTTCAGTTTTGACAGTTTTACTCTGGAAATAAAGTTGTTCAAGCCACATGGGCCTTTGTTGTTTCTTTTACGAGCACCCGCGCCGGTACAATTACCTACTGCCAATGACATTATTCTCGTACGTCCTAAGAGCTTGGTCGGTGAAACGGGTACCACTGGAAACGAGAATGTATAGGGAATGCATGCGCATTTGAAAACATTGTATCTTATCTGTTAAACCACCAATGCGCTGGTAAATAATAAAATGGGTTTTTCCTGAACATGAATTTTCCTTGTTACTGCTACCGGCTTGACATAAACACCGAGTCAGTACTCACCTCAGTTGAAAAATTAGTGTTCCCAAAGGGAATTGTTGATTTGCTTGAACTGGAAAAGCTTTCTACTTAATATCAAGGGAAGAAAAAAGGTAAGAGGGCTTATTCATATGCACTTAGGAGCACAAGGATTGATTTGATGCTTGTATTGAAGCAATATATCAAACTCGAAAGACCGTGTTTGAACACATTTCCAAACTGACCGAGAAGAGAGCACGCGCAACGGAGCATTTTTAACGAATTTCGAGGTGTTTGGAAACATGGTCAAACACTGTCTTGAGTGTTTGATATATCTTTTCTATCGAAACTAAAAGCCTGAGTAAGATGAAAATGGAGAAATAAATGGTAAAAATCTAAATGGTATTTAAGTTAAGATCGGATATCCAAACGCTGTCACGGTCCTTGATGAATAATCAAACCTATTTCAAAGGACTATGATACCCAAAGGTATACCCTTTTGGTACCCAGGTTTTCTTCGGATAAGGTACCACAAGAGAAAATGACCATGCTCATTTCCCGCATGTTTTATTCACGCTGGAGAAACTAGGCCTACACGTTGTGCAGCTTTGTGCCGCCATATTGGTTTATTGTTCGGTAGGAGATTGGACACAATTTTGTTACGTCATCGGATTCGAAAACAGCCGGATTCACCTTCCACATGTTATCGGATTCGTTGCGGATTTATTTTTTCCACTTTGGAGAGCGGATTCGAAAATATCCGAATTCGTGTGGGCTGAAGCCGTATCCGGAAAGAAAACGTTGCGGATTAACAAATATCCGGATACGTGTGGATGGGGCCTAAAAAACGGAGCTTTTCGAAAACGATGGCGTCACGGTAATCATGTGATTCATGTGACTGAGTTTTCCTTAAACACGAATCCAAAATGACCGTTGATCGTTGCGTTTTTCAATTCCTCCGACCTTCACTTCAGCGATGCGTCTTCAGAGTGTATCCTCCGTTTTCAAATATAATTTCTCCGGCGTAGGGCGAACGGGGCCAAATCAAACCCCCAGGGATTTTCGAAGCTGGGTTTGATCTAAAATAACTTGTAAACCAACAGAAGACTTGTTAACAAGACTTAGGGTGCGTTCCTTTGGGGTGATCTGGATCAGGATAAGTGATCCAAGATCACTCGGATCATGGTGCATCAAAGGAACCTGTGAATCCGCTCTGGTCACGGATTCATCGGTTCCTTTGATGTACCATGATCTGAGTGATCTTGGATCACTGATCCTGATCCAGATCACCCCATAGGAACGGACCCTTAGTTCCTGGAACCCCCACCCTGAATTTCGGAAATTGTGTAATTTTCGGGCAAAATTCTCATGACTCGGACAATGTCAGCACTTGGGAGAAAACATTCCAAAAAGTTTCAAGGTTTATATGCTACTTTCTCTGACGTTTTGCCTCGCCAAAACGGACTTTTAAGTCAAATGATACAAGGGATCAGGCATTCTGTCTTGGAAAAACGACACATCGGTAAGCCTAAATGTGTATCGTGGAAATCCACGCTGTGGATATCATTCCCATTTCCAATTTCCTATCAACAAAACAATGATAAAAGAATCAAAGCAAAATAAGACCAAGACTTTTGATTTTGTGGAGTCTCTGAAGAGAGCCGTTTTGAACGGCTCCACAAACAGCCGTTTTAAATAATTTTCTTCTTTGAATTTTTCGTACGAAGAAGAAATAACTTTTTCTTCATGTTTCTTATTTTAATAGATCGAGTAGNTCCAAGATCACTCGGATCATGGTACATCAAACTTCGAACCGATGAATCTGCTCTGGTCACGGATTCATCGGTTCCTTTAATGTACCATGATCTGAGTGATCTTGGATCACTGATCCTGAACCAGATCACCCCAAAGGAACGCACCCTTAGTTCCTGCAACCCCCACCCTGAATTTCGGAAATTGTGAAATTTTCGGACAAAATTCTCATGATTCGGACAATGTCAGCACCTGGGAGAAAACATTCCAAAAGGTTTCAAAGTTTATATGCTACTTTCTCTGACGTTTTGCCTCGCCAAAACGGACTTTTAAGTCAAATGATATAAGGGATCAGGCATTCTGTCTTGGAAAAACGACACATCGGTAAGCCTAAATGTGTATCGTGGAAATCCACGCTGTGGATATCATTCCCATTTCCAATTTCCTATCAACAAAACAATGATAAAAGAATCAAAGCAAAATAAGACCAAGACTTTTGATTTTGTGGAGTCTCTGAAGAGAGCCGTTTTGAACGGCTCCACAAACAGCCGTTTTAAATAATTTTCTTCTTTGAATTTTTCGTACGAAGAAGAAATAACTTTTTCTTCATGTTTCTTATTTTAATAGATCGAGTAGGCTGTCGATTAAGGTCATAGTATATGCTCGGAGGAGAACTACCATGTAAAAAAAACAGGGCTGCTCATCGGAAATTTTGAGAAAAGCCCAAGAGAGGGACCAAGACCCTGTTTTGTGGGCGTGGCTTGAAATATTTCATCCCTAAGAGGTACCAATTCTAAAACAACACAT